AGAAGTCAATGACTCAAGAACAGGTATAGTTAGGTACACCTCATTCGAAATCATATTATTTTTCTCTGAAACATACAAAGGTGAAACTGAATATAGGGTGTTCCGTTTAAAAAAACAAAACTACGATATGTCACACATTTTTGTGTCACCCTGTAGACTCCATGATAATTTCCGTCTGCAGACTTAATCAATATACATATACTGTAGAAATTCTCGAGAAAATCAATAGTTCGGTATACAGGGACCGTGTCGTATGAGGTGCCTCACCCTGTACATAAGTCATTGTGATTAAGATTATAGTTAGTAAAGACACGCTTGAAGACGCTATTTCATTGCGAAACACATGTTGCGTTTTTGTGAAACTGTTTACTGTTAAATTTGAAAGTGTTTATTTGATTGTTTCCTTGAATTGTAATTTCATGTGAAACTACAGTGCCAATGTTGACAATGTCAAATGACGATGAATATCACAATAATTATCAATAAATTTTCTGAAAAAACATTGTATTTCAAAATTGATGAAAATCGTTTTGAGAGACACTTTTTGTCTTCGACAATTGTCCAATATAGTTCGACGTTTCAGAACTCGAAGCGAGTTGCAACAATCATTTTATACGGTGGTCAATTTCATTGACCGCTTCTATCTCTCTATGTCAGAACTTCTTGACTTCAGTTTTTTCCTGCGGCCGTTTATCTCTGCCCCACGTATTCTTGGCACGTCACTGAGTAAGAGTTACGAGAATAGCGTATTATCTAACGTTGATAACATTGTTCTAGTCTTGGAAAACACATGTGCTTGCTATCGTTCCATCCTGAAGCTGTCCCTCGGATCACATTCTCTGTTTCCGTATAATTTGTACGGGGTGGGTGAAGCTTTTCATCTTGTGACGGGGTAGATAAAAAGACGGCCAGAGTTTCATATGAATTATATATCATTCTCAGATACTATATAACAAATTTACGGTTGACTGTTGGAATAATTGTTGAAAGGAATCTGTTTAAAAAAATCTGTTTAAAATCTCTTTTTCCGTTAACCAGCTGTCGCATTCTACGAACGACAACCCTCAGAAGTCGAAACATGTGCGAGCTAAGGATTAACGAGGTCCTGCCTTTTAACGTGTGATCATAATGTATTTTTTTAAGAAGCAAGTGTGCTTTACACCACACGACTGAAGTGGACTTTTTTTACCTCCCCCCTTCATTTTTTGAACGGGTCAACTCAAATTGATTGATAAAACTTTCCATTTGGGAGAAAAAAATTAAATGTGAAGGGAGATCTTGTGACACATCTTTATGAAGCTCCTGACAAATACTTCACGACCCTAGAACATAATGTCAATATCTTCAACAACTACAAAATGACAAAACTTTCAATAATTGCCTGAATACGTTGACATTTAACTATATAATATGAGGTAATAAGATTGAGGTCAGTTCAGAAGATGATCAAAATGGTTGCCTTGAACTTCTTAACATATGAACAGCCTATCCGATATTTCAAGCTGAACATTTCCGAACACAGTTAATATCTCTACAAATATTCATTATTCTCTGCTGTATATCCAATATTGAATCAGGTTCAGTTTTGTACACCTTTTGCTTCGAATAGCCCTATGAAAAGTCCAAAGGTATCAGATCTGGCGAGCCGGCTGGTCATTCTATAGGGCCTCGACGGCCAATGCAATGACCGGGAAAAGTAGTATACCAATAGTTTCTCACTTGTTTGGATTCATGTGCTCCATCTTGTTGGAATACAATATCCATATCGGATTCATTAGGATTCGCTTCAACGATTTCAGAGGGTCAACAGTAGCTTCCAGCATATTCAAATACAGTTCCCCTATTGAATTTCGATCAATAAATAGAGGTCCTACAATATGGTTTCCCAATATTCCTGCCCACACATTAATTTTTTCTGGATATTGGGTATGTGTTTCTCGGAAAACGTGAGGGTTGGTGTCACTCCGATAACGGTAATTTTGTCTGTGAACATTTGCGTTGAGAAAAAATTAACATTCGTCACTAAAACAAATATTGTGAAGATAGGTAGAATGCCTTGAAATGGTTTCCGTCATGATTTCACAGAATTCTGTTCTTCGATCAGGGTCATCAATTCATCATCAAAGCTCTAATCAAACACCAGTTTGAGTAGAGCCTTGACGATGATAGCACGACCAGCTGTCGAAAGCGCTCGCGTATAATAAATAAGAGTTATAAAGCTTCAAATCCTTTTTGTAACATATATCAATATATGATTCCCAGGAAAAATAAAAAAACACGTCAACCATAGTATTTAGGGGGACACATTTTGACATATTCATATTTGATGTTACTTCCCCAATTGCTTCCCAATTTTTCTAAATGGATCACCCTATATTGTTACGCATCATCAGATGCTCCATGATGAACATATTTCAACAAAGTATAAAACATAATGTCTGAAGCTTATGGTTCGGGAGCTACAAATCATTTGAGTTGAAAACTCAAACTCAAGTGCAACACTTTTCATGGCTCTCTATTTGTATCTAATAGAATACACTCCCACTTCCACTATAAATAGGGTTAGCACCAGTTCACACCTGAAGTGGGGTGGGACAAGTACTTTCTTTTACTCAACCTACTGAATCTAATTATTACAGAGCAAATTTATATGTTATGAAAGACTACAGTAAACTTGAATTGTCTCTAGAGTTTCGATATACAATAACAACACACCTGATGAAAGACATCTTTTCAATTTGAATTTGAAGGAAGGAATGGACAGATTTTTCAAAGTATTTAGGATTTTATTATATTGCCTAGTAATGTTATGCAAAAAAGGCGATAGAAACTGACTCGTTGAATGCTGTCCTCTAGATTTGAATCGTACGTTCAACTGGTGAACATCAGTCCAGAAGGTTATTTTTTCATAATGATATGGCTTCTTTGTTTGCATAATCTTATGGAACAATGTGCAGGTATGAATAATTTGTCTACAATAAATATTGAGTTAATCGATATCCCTCAGCGGCCTGGATACGTGATCACGTCTTTTCAGACCTTGAATCAAACGCACATATGAGAGAAGAGTCTAATATAAAAACAAGATTTTCCAAATTGTCGAACACACAAGGGTATTTACTTCGATATGGATGTCCCAGAAATTGTGGCATCGATTGCGTGCCTTTTTTCAACCAAACAAAACAAAATTGAAATGGATTTAGAGGGATTCATATTGAGATGGGATTGGAAAGATACCGTGATGATGAATTCCATATCTGAATTCAATTGGAAGTTAGCTAACGGAAGATTTTTTCCTGAATAGAAAATACAATTCTGTGTATCTGTGACAGAAACTGAACATGATACAATTTGGGAACTATTATGTATAGATGGTGAATAGAACAGGTCCCAATATAGAGCCTTGTGGGACTCCATTTTAGGTTTTGAATTAATTCTATGCCAGAGATTTCAGTTTCACATTTCATTCTGTTGATTAACATGCTCATCAACTTTTTGAATCCACGTGTGAACATTCTCCACTTTGGCTTTACTGAAAACCGAATATAAGGCATAGGGTTGGGTTTCCAACTGAAGTTGAGTAATGATGTGATTGTTCTGGTGTTAGTTAATAAGAACCGCACTTGCCCATGTGACTCTTAGATATAAGAAACCCCCGAATAAATGCTCAATTCAAATATTACGGTTTTTCTTGCATATCTAACGAATCGAAAACAGAAGATAGTATCAAATGAAAGAAACTCTGACTACGTTGAAATTGAAGCGGGAGTACCACAAGGAAGTATTCTCGGTCCACTATTTTTCATTATTTTTACCGCTGATATTCTAAAATCTATAACCGCTTGCAATGTTCAGGCATATGCCGATGATACGCAGTTATTAATTAGTTTTTCTAAAGAAAACCTGAATGATGCACAGAATTTGCTGGATGATTATCTTGAACTTATATTTGACAAAAGTGCCTCTCATAACTTGAAATTAAATTCGTCCAAGTCAAAAATATTAGTTTTCTCACCAAAAACTCAATACGATTTTGTACATACAAATTTGGCAGTTGTTATCAATGATGTACCGTTAATAGCCGTTGAATCGGCGAAAAGCTTGGATTTAATAACAACGATCTCCGTTTCAAATCTCATGTAAATAGTGTTCTTAAAAAAACTTTCACTTCACTGAAAACTCTTTACAGCAACCGATTTATTCTCAATGTAAATTTGCGCAAGACTCTGTGTGAAACCCAGTTTACGTATTGTGATTTTTTGTATAGTCCTTGTCTTGATAATGAATTTAAATATAAGAATCAAAAGGTTCAGAATTTTCGCGTACGATTTATTTACGGATTACGTCGGTATGATCACGTATCTCAAAAATTAAGAGAGTTAGAATGGCTCAATATGGAAAATCGTAGACGACTTCATCTATCCATGTATGTTTATAAAATGATGAGAAGTGAAAATGATATTAATCGAAGGAGATTTCTTCCTAGATCTCATACACATTCTATTAATGTAAGGGACAAGGGCTTACTCACGATGCCACATCATTCGACAGCTACTTTCCAAAAGGGAGCTTTACCTATACTGCTATTAAAAATTTCAATTCTATCCCTATTCAGTACAGGGACTCAAATTTGAGAGCATTTAAAAAGTTTATGAAAGAATCTTTACTATCTGCACAGTGAATAATGTAGGTAAATGTTGGTCGAACAAACTCAGTAATGTCTGATTTTTTAGTTAGTATATTTTTAATTTTGTAATTTATAGGGCCATATGGTATTATCAACTTCAGATCAGCATCAGGGGGTTAGATGTAAGAGTAGTCGAAGGCTAAATCTCGCCTCGTGAAGTTCAAGCAAGAAAGAGATTTTCTTGTATTGTTTCTTCGAATTATGTGATAATTTGTAATCTCTACATGATAAACACGATATTATTATCATTATCAATATAATTTTCATTGACTATCTCGATAACATCACTAACATCATTTTCCTTTCGTTACAGCTGCATCAAGCCGAACAACATCTCATAATTCTCATGCTTCGTTCCTACTATTCTGCTGTATCCGCCTGTTTATGTTTTTGAGATAAATCTACCATCGTTGATGACGATGAAAAATGCTTCGGCAAGCCAAAGACTTTGAATGTGAGTTCAACTCTGAATGTGAGTAATACTCTATTAATTCGCTGCTTTGAACATTCCCTATGTATATTTGAGTTTCCATAAGTTTTTGGCGATGTAGTTTCATATGGCACTAATTGGTTTTTTGTAAACTATATTTTTTCTCCGGCGAAAATGAAATGAGACCAAATCAATATTAGTCATGATGGAAAAACAAAATAACTTCCTTTGAATATTTAAACAAGTGATGCGAATATTGTGAACTTGTAGAAAATTGTGTTTCAAATGGCCAAATCAAACGATATGGGTGAAAATGGTGAGAACTGATAATGTAATGTTGAACCATATTATTTTCAGTTGTTACTGAGAAATCTGACGAATCCTTTTTTCTGTTTCAAATCTAGAAATATTTGTCGACGTATTGAATACCAAATATAATAAATTTGATATTGGAAACCTCCTCAGTTTCAGGGAAGTGAAAAACCTGAAAAACAGGAAAAATGATGATTTTCTTAAAATCAACTCCTGGAAATACTATCATTGGTGTAACACCTGGATGGCAAGAAGATTTATCAACTTCTGGCAGAATCTTCCAGGATTGGCTCACTCCAAGGCGATTATTCACCCTTTGAAGCTTGATACCAAACAGTTGTTGGACTACAGTAGCGATTAACTACGTTGTCTAACAGGCCTTCTTACAGGCCACTGTCACTTGAATCATCATATGCAAAGACTAGGACTGTCGGAAGACAGTGTGTGTCGCCTCTGTTTGGAAAATGATGGAACAGCAGAGCATATACTTTGTGCCTGCCCCGCTGGGGACCGAATCAGGTTCTTAGAGTTCGGCAGAGCCGTACTCTCACCATCTAACCTGAAAGACCACTCACCATACAAACTAATCGGCTTCGTTGAGAAGCTGGGTTTATTTGGCCGAGTGTAGATAGGTGTGAGCCAAAATAAATCCTTGCGGGTTACGGTGGAGGGTCGAATAGACCCACTCACTTTGGATCTAACCTAACCTAACCTATATCATTGGTGAGTTGAATTTTCTGGACACAATGAGTTGGATCACATCAAATCATTTTTGAGATTCCAATATCAAATGAAATGGAATGTCAAACTATTGATATTCTGATGAATTATGAACTATTCCAAATCCGGTTACTCAGACTTAAAATCTTGCTGGAATGACAGTGAAAATATGTAGATGAAGCGTAATCCTGTGTATATTGCTATTTTTTCTGAAAAATGAATAAATAATAATGAAATTTGAGCGTTCTTACGAAAAATACCCATAGAGCATAGAAAGAGTCCACGAAGTATGGAAAAAATACTCTAATTTTGACAAAAATATGGGTATTGCTACCAGAAGGAAAATCGTATGAACTATTGGACTGGTCCCATTTCATTTCGCTCTCGTATTCTCGAACTTTGTACATATCTACATCCTTCAATGTTCAAAACAATCATATTACTAGTCGTCATCCTCCTGAAAGGAAATAAGTGTATTGTATAAATTTCTACATAGAATAAGAGATATTTCGAAAGTATATTAGCTTAGATCTCGCCTATGAATTCAGTTACGAGAACCTGTTGATATTCTTTTAAATTTTTGTATCTTTCGGTTTTCGAATTTTTCAAAAACTAAAAAATTACTCCAATCACTTCCAAAGGAAGTAGAAAGTCATCTTGTCTATCATTAATTCATCCCTGAAATGAATTTCAGAATTTTGCTCATCAGGAATTGGAATAGAGTTCACAACCGGGTTAATCTCAATATTAGCTCCTCCATTCTAAGCACTGTCAAATCTGGCTATTCAAAAGGCATTACTAGAATACTTTATTTGATAAAATTAGTAATATTCTTTGAAAGGATCCTATTTAGGTATTTCACTAAATATAATACCAAGGAATATGTAAGCCACAGTTTGTACATATTCCCGAGATCTAAGCTTAAAGTTTTGAGCACTGATTGTATTTTGTAAATTTAATGTCATATTTGTAACCAGTTGTCATAAAAATTGCTAGGTTATTCTTTTATGAAATACTAACAATGTCTCATCATCTGTATGATATTTAGTGGTTGAAAAAAAATATATATATATTTTAAAATTGAGTGAAAATGACTTTGGCCGGCAAGATTTATTCAAAATGTTCCTATGGTAGTTAGAATAATCATTGTAACGTTATAGGGCTGTGAATGAGATGAAAATTGTTTCAGTTGAATATAGTTTACCTCATGAAATGATGCAATGAATCGCTTTGAGAAAATTGAAAACTGTATTGTTGACATAACCAGTCATATTTTAAGAATTGAGAAAACCATATATGTGGAGCTTTTATTGACTTCTTCGTTGGATGAATAGGATTCACTTAATATCTGGAAAACACCTGTTCCACGATGTATCGTACAAATCCTTTCTCAGTCAAACCGGCTACTCTTCGATCTCAAGAATCCAGTGGTCAAGTGAAATGTTCTTCACTGGGTATATGTGTTGGAATTCATCTATATAGAATCTGGTGAATCTGGTGGCCACTTCACTCTAGTAAATTTCTTCGTTTTGTTTAATTTGAAAATTGCCAAACCACAATAGTGGAGTGATATGCTACTGATATCCTTCATATTGGAATCTTAGAATTTTTCAGTTGTGGAAATTACTGTCCGAATATGAACTGATGATGAATTATGGCATTTTCTCGATCTTCAAATTGAAATTACAATATACAAATATGAGTTTGGAGTAATGCTCATCCATGTCAGCAACAACAAAACATTTCACCTGATGCCGTTTTGTTTGGGCAACGAATGAGAAATAATATCTGAAAAGTATAGTTTGAACCATATTATAATCAGAAAAGAAGATCAAAATAATAAAAAAATGTTGTATATTACTTTCTGATTGATGAAGATCTATGGTAATTTCACAAACTACACCTTACGATTTGATCTTCACATACTCCATATATCAAGACATGTTTTGATATCACATTAACTTTTCCATAGAAAATGACAGCGAAATAAAGTTTGTGAAGATTCAATCATAAGGTGTTGTTCATGTAGTTGTATATAACTGTGACTCTGAAATTCTCTTGAAATATTTTTTATTCAATACAAATTATATTGTGATGAATTTTATTTTATATTGTATCACATACACAATTTTATTTATTTCTATTGTATTCGTCAATATACTTGGTACTATCAAGTGCACTTGAAATACGGAAGATTAGTTTCAAAAAATTAGTATCAGAAAGTGGATCTGTTTAAAATTTTTCGTTTTGCACGAAAACTCAGCTAAAAAATTCATTTTGCCAATGAGTTATTCTGAAACGGTTGTTTTCTCTTCCCAAGTTTCGAAAAAAAATTTTCTGATATATCCAAAGATAGGATTGAAAAACCATGTTCAAATAAAAGTTTTTTTCCGAAAACTTCATCTGGACTCATTGTTGTTGACTGAAAGTTTTTCAGATAAAGTTAATAGATATAATTTTCTGATTGATTCGGCCGTTACTCTATGAAGATCCATAGTAATTTCAAAAACTCCACAAACTTTGTGTAGATCATATCGTAAGGTGTAATTTTTGAAATTAATAGATATAACACATGCAATGTCTCAAAAACTGCCAGATATAATGGAAAGATGAATAACACCTTTGTTTCATGATCAAATTCTATACAAAAATGTTCATTCTCCAGAAATATCAGGCTTTGTATTCATGAAAAAAAATTCCATTACAACGAATTTATTCGAAATAAACATAGATGTGGAGTACCGAAAGATTTTTCAATCTCAACGTGATTGCTTTCATAATTGTACTCCAGAATATTTTGAATTACTTTGAATGCAAGTGATAGTTTTCCTATACTCTTCTGAATATTATGACGGAAAATCATTTAGATGGTTCATTGAGCTGTTTCAGAACTTGAATATACTGTAGAGGACCATTTTTCTTGATATTTCCATTGCTACCGATATATTATATCATTGTCTAATCTAGATATTTAGATAATTAATTAATCACAAAATGGGCCTTGTGCACTTGGGAGTTCATGTTTGATTATGGAAAAAAACAATGATGAGAAAATGCAAACCAACAAATGAACATTTTCTTCTTGGCTGATCTCTCATATAACATAAATCACATAAAAAGTACTTCGTACACTTCACAATTATGGTAATGAAGATTTTTATAGGAAACATTTTTATTATAAATTGAGAACGCAAAGTTTTGAACTCGGTGACTTCTAAAAAAAACGGAGAACCGTTCTTCTACAGAATATCATGATGAAAACAAAAAGGCATTTCAATTGCTTCCCATTTTAAAAAGAAGAAGTCAATTATTTTGACACCAATCACCAATTTAATGAAAGGTTTTCACCGATAAAGGTACAGGTACAGGTACAGGTACGACATATTCTCCAAGTTCTACGATGCTGAATAGACAACTTCTCAGTTGTGTTACTTTAGAAAAGGTTACTTTGATCAGCTGCATTGTAGCCAAATTACAAACTCGATAACTGAATCTACCGCCACACTACAACGAGAATAAACACTGCCGATTGAAAGAATGACGTTACTGATACCCAGACCAATCACATCAAGACATTACACCCCGCTGAAGGTGTGCACATAGTAGTAATACACTGCGGAACTTTGAACGCGTTTTCCTACACTATGTCATTTTTTCGGTGAACACCACATTAAGATATTTTCTTGATGTACAAGATTTCATCATAACTACATCATTCACGAAGTTAGTTTTGTAGACGATTAATGTAACAAAATTGGGGTGATTATTCATTTCGTCGTGCTATTAGTAGTTTTGGAGATATTATTAGAAAAAAATTGGATATCGAATAACAAAAATTTCCACACTAGAAATATTCAGATTGTGTGTTTCATGAAAGTCTAGTAAAGAAATAGCTGGCTGCAATATTACGACTAGATGTTACTTTTTTATGTATGATTGTCTGGAAAGAATATATAATATAACATAGTCCATATTTGCTAACATTATAAAAAATCATCCTGATTTTGCCACGATGAAAAGTAGCAAGAATATTTTCAGGCGTCTTCATATCATTAGATAGTTTTTAATAAATATTTTTGATAGAAGAACAGTTTTTGAATCCAAGATCTTGCTGGTCCAACGTCATATTTTATGTATGAAAAATCCCTGTGATCACGAAATATGTTTGGCAGACGCCAAGAATTGTTAATTATTAGTAATTACTATAAATGTGTAAAAATATGGAAGTTTATTTTGTCCGAAAACTGGTGTAGTTAATTGATTAGTCAGGCTGATAGATTGGATATAGTATAAAAACCAGCAAAAATCGTCCATGAAATTTTGGAGAAAATGGGGTGTTTTATTGAATGAAGAATCTGTTAACGGAATTTGTTTTGTGTAGCGGGGCGCTTTATGTCCACGTTTTTTTCACAATAGTACTAGTATTTTTCGTTCGTTATTGTTTTAAGCTTATTTAAAAAAATATTTTCAACTTTCTAGTTCGATGTTCCTTAAAAGTGAGATTTTTAGTTTTTTTTACTGTATATATTTATATGAAAATCAATTTCACAAAAGTCATTCAGGAAAGGAATTCACCTCCTTTGCATA